AACCTCTCGAGGCTTCAGGAAGGACGTGAACGTTCGAGAATATGACGTGTTACTAGCGTCACGTGACCCCCGCTGTCGTAACAATATAATTTAAATAATATTCGACATATTTATATCTACTGAACAGGGATTATTTTATATATTTTTCATCTTGTTTTTTCTTGTCATTACTTTATAATGCATGTATTTTTATGTCTAGTAACTCGAGCTTCCACTTTCACACATTTTAGTCATAACATGATTATTTAATAAGAACCTGTTAAAATGTTTTAATAATAAAAATGTCTTATATGTCTTCTACCATGAACACATTTTTGATATTACACCTAAAATTCAAAATCAATACAATTTAGGTGATAATGAGAAGAGGTGATTTTGCTACACCCCGGGTGGATTTTGATCAAGCTTGGAACACGTATAAAGAAGGTTTTGGAAACCCAGAAGGCGAATATTGGATCGGCAACAAATATATACACTTGCTAACAAGTCAAGGGGATCAGATGACACTCCGAGTGAGCCTAGAATCTTTCGACGGGGACACGGTGGACATGACTTACGACAGTTTTCAATTGAGTTCCGAGGAAGATAACTACATGCTAAAAATGGGGAATTATTTAGGTCATCCCGGATATCTAGGAACTTCTCTTCGTTACCACCATCATCAACCTTTCAGTACCAGGGACCGAAACAATCAACGATCTAGGCAGAACTGTGCAGAGGATTTTAAGGGAGGGTGGTGGTTCACTAGGTGTTATTCTGCTTTCTTAACTGGAATATATTATCAACCAGGACCACCTCACCCTCGAAAAGGCATAAGATGGAATGCTTGGAAAGGTAACGCTCCTCTAAAAGGAGCTAAAATGATGATTAGGCCTATGCATTTCACACCACACAAGTGAGATCTTCTTACAAGTAAGTAGTTTAGTGGGCCTTAAAAAAAGTAATAGTTTAGGAATTACTAAACAAAATTCTCCAAGATTAGTCATGCATGTGTATGTGTGTGTTCACCCTAGCATGTTAGAGACTTGTGGTGAATTGCTTTCTGGGCATTATGTTATGGAGAAAATTCGTACAATAAACAAAGACATTTATATTCTGCGACAGTCCTCTTCGAAGACAGCTGTTTAAATAATAATATATTCTTGTTATCATAGTTCTTAATGGAAATATGAGCCATATCTTACAAATGAATAGTGCTTGTTTTCAGTTAATATTTAAAAACAAACAATCTTGGAATAAATAACTATTATACCAAGTCTCGTTATCTCCGGAAGGTTTCGTTTTTATGCTTTGTATCTTAATACCAAAGAAAAAATCAACTCGAAATAAAGAATAGCTCAAACTGTTATCAGTTCTTGAGATCTTTTGTAGGTCTTTGTTATCTTAATGACATTGAAAGCATTTTAGGTAAACAACAGACAATATGCTCTTTTTATTTAAGGGTAAGTCAAAAGTTAGTTTGAAAATATTTTCTTCAACAGCCGGTCTGAGGAAAACAGCAAATTTAAACATATAGAAAAGTATATTTATATATATAAATGGTTAAAGAGCGTATTATATAATCAATGTACATATAGATATATATAAATGCATACATATACATGCGTACACACTTTTGGGGGTGTTTTATTAACATTTGACACTCAATACAAGCTCTGAGGTAGAACAATGTTATTGAGACAACCCTAGACTGCTTAGTTCAAATTATGCATCAGAAGATGCAGTAAGATAAAAATGTATACTTCTTCATACATTGATGATGGAGCAAGTTGGTCTTGTGTTTCAGAATAATATCATTTCTTTCGCATGTATAAATACACGTGTGTAGAGTATATACACTAACACATGTATAATACGTGAAAAAAATATTGTGCTAGAAATATTTTGACGAATCACTTAGCTAAGACTAGGATTATTATTAAGTAATCATCTAACCATTCCTCTTTTCAAAATTAATTTCCATTTTTGTTATTAGTCTATATGTAGCAAAATAACAAAAGACAAAGAATCTAGTAGCAATAACTCTATATGAATAGAAAAAAGACAAAGAATCTAATAGTAATAACTCTACACGTATAGAAAAAAGACAAAGAATCTAGTAGCAATAACTGATTACGAATAGTAAAAGATAAAGACTCTAGTAGCAATAACTCTATACGAATAGAAAAAGACAAAGAATCTAGTAGCAATAACTCTTTACGAATAGTAAAAGATAAAGACTCTAGTAGCAATAACTCTATACGAATAGAAAAAAGACAAAGAATCTAGTAGCAATAACTCTTTACGAATAGTAAAAGATAAAGACTCTAGTAGCAATAACTCTATACGAATAGTAAAAGACAAAGAATCTAGTAGCAATAACTCTATACGAATAGTAAAAGACAAAGAATCTAGTAGCAATAACTCTATACGAATAGTAAAAGACAAAGAATCTAGTAGAATAACTCTATACGAATAGTAAAAGACAAAGAATCTAGTAGCAATAACTCTATACGAATAGTAAAAGACAAAGAATTTAGTAGCAATAACTCTATACGAATAGTAAAAGACAAAGAATCTAGTAGCAAAAACTCTATACAGATTTTGTGTCTGTCTAAAAATTTTACAGCATTTCTTCATATCTATAAGAGATTTTCTGCATTTGAGGTAATTACCACGCTGTTTTAGAAAGTAACGTTACAGTGATAAATAAGTTCCTTAATTAAAAGGCAGTTATGACGTTACAAATGTCAACGCCATTGACTCAACACTTACAGTCAGTTACGAAACTGAACAGATTAAAACAGATCCTTCTTGAGGAAAAAAAAAGTATTTACGTCATTACATTCTAGCTATCCTTGCTAAATTACACAAAAGAGTAGCTAAGTGACTCTTACTTAATGGTAAAGAAGTTATGAAAATGCTGTGAGATCGTATCTTAATTAAATAATAGATGGCAGCACTAACAATAGTTTTAAAATATGTCCGTAAGTAATTTTATAAAATTTGATGCATTGTTATTCAAAGCAATGATGTTTGTGATCAAGTATATATCGATGGAATATAAAATGTGTTATTTTAATTTGTTTTTTGATACCCACAATATTTTTATGCTTCTGACGAAAGGAAGTGGAATAGGTACGAAAGATGAAAATGCCTTGTAATGATTAAAGTCTGAGGAGAAGCTTCAGTGATGATTCTAAATTAAATACAACATCGGTAGATTTTCATTAAAACATTATGCAGGGCATTTGAACTTTTGTTGACTGTTGTGTTAATTAAACTGAATTTACAATTCAAACAAATGCATAACTACTAAGTATGTTGTCCGAGCGTGGCGAAGTAGTTAGCGTGTCGGACTATGATGGATATAATGTACCTCGTTTGCGTTCAGTTATCGCGAAAAGAAATTATATATATAATAATTCGCGATCCGGACTTTTGTACTGTGTCTGCGTTACTAAGGTGACAATAAAATTACATTATCCGGTCAATCAAATGTATCCCAAGAATTTGCGGAGTGTGCTGTTGACTCAAGTCTATCAGTTAAAAACCAGTGATGGGTAGCGTAGGAAGCTCTTGAGTAGCTTCGCGCGAATATCTGCGAACAAACAGATAAATAGAGGTATTACTCCGGACCTATTTAAGCACTGATTTAACCCTTTTGTTAACAACAACTGGCCAAATTATTAGTATAGAAAATCTGACCTTATACAGAAGCAAGTACCAGCTAAGTTGTTATGGCATTGAATCTAAACTAAGTACAAGTATGTATTTTTATGGCAATGAAATTTATCTTTCTAGAATTAAACAAATTAACCAGCTATTATATTGCTATTAAAGTGGGTGCACTTTAAGAGTTTAAGCATCAGTAACTAATTACTAAGGAGATGACGTTTCGGCTTATATACTGAGGCTTCAGTATAGAAGCCAAAACATCAACTCCTTTTCTTTCAATAGGCAGTTGTATCTGTAACGAATTTGTTATTATATATTTATTTTCATATCAGTGTTTGTTTCGATTAAATGTATATTTAGAAAAAATACGTAGCTTATTCTGTTAAATATGTATTACGAAACTCCCGCCTATTCTCCAAAGTTGTAGAAGATTATCGAGAGTAAGAATCAGCAATATAAAACTTAAAAACAATCAAGGCCTGTCTGCCATTTTTTTAAAAAATACTTGGTCGTGTTATGTCCGATTGTTGGTGTTCGAAAGAGAAAAAGAGACAACACTCAGTGCGTTTGTGTTCACATATGGACGTGATTTCACCAGATCACCCGATTTTGTTGATTTGGCCACTGATATAAAGGCTGATGTAATCAGGGAGGAATGTAGATCTTTTATGTCTTTGACAAATTACACTTGCAATCACATACCCATGCGTATTCTACATGATACCGGGGTGACTCACTTATTGTTGTTAGAAGGTATATTGCCTTTAGGTTCGAGTTCTGCCACTGTTGAGTCTGTTATTGCTTAGGGTATTGAGGATGGCTTTGTTAATGTTCCTCTTCATAACATTTATTTAGCATCAGACCAAGTTTCGGGGCCAGTTGTGGTTAGAGTAAGACCTACTTTGCCAATTAAGGTGTATCATTCTTGTTGGGAAACAATTTGGCTGGGGGAAAAGTTGTTCCCGAACCTAAAATGGTTAATGAGCCAATTACTGTTTCATCTAAGGTTGATGTTGGCGTTGATGACAATCCCAATGTGTTCCCACGTATGCTGTGACTCGAGCTCAGACTAAGAAATTAAGCCCAAAATAAATGATAGACATGGATTCAGAGGACGATATTATAGATTTGTCTGAAACAATTTTTGGATCCAACGGGGATCTTGTGGTAAATTGTTCTACTGATCATTCTTCGGTGAGAGACAACGATGGACGTGAGGAATCTGATTCACCTAATGAAGTTCCATTTACTAAAAGTAAACTGATCACTGAACATGAAAAAGATATACAGATCTCTTCACTATTTAAATATGCACTCCCAAAAGATGAACTGGATAAATTTCCAAATGGTTATTTTTCCAAAATGGTGTGCTTATGAGAAAATGGAGACCACCAGATGTGCCAGCTTCAGAGGGCTGGGCTATTGTTTATCAAATCATTGTTCCCAAAGCATATCATTTTGAAATATTAAAAGTTGCCAATGAACTCTCTATGGGAGGTCATTTAGGTGTCAACAAGACATGTGACAAACTTATGAGACATTTCTTTTGGCCAACAATTAGGCAAGGCGTTTCTCAGTTTTTAAAACTTGTCATACCTATCAATTAATCAGAAAATCTAACCAGAAAATTCCCGTAGCTCCTTTGAAACCTATCCCAGCTTTTGAAGAACGTAAGGTCCATCCTGAGAACATGGTATTAGTATTGTTACCCACTATGGGATATCTAATATAAAAAAGATAGAGAGAGAGAAAGGAAGAAAAAGACAAAAAGAGAGAAAGAAAAAAGAAAGAAAGAAGATTGTTAAATTACAGTTTATCACTACAAGAGCATGATTTTGTGATAGTCCATGTCAAAAGGGTTGATAACATTTGCGTTGATGCACTCTCACGTGCTATATAATTTTATGATCATAAGGTTATGTGTGCCCCCAAGTGGCACAGCGGTATGTCTGCGGACTTATAACGCTAGAATCCGGGTTTCGATACCCGTGGTGGGCAGAAGCACAGATAGCCCATTGCGTAGCTTTGTGCTTAATTATAAACAAACAAACACATTATAGCTAAATTGGTGGTGTTGTTTTTCGTTTTCTTTGCGCAAACCTACACAATCTGCTATCTGCACTCTGTCCACTGCAGAGAACCGAATCGCGGATTTTAGTATTTTAAGTCAGAAAATTTACTGCTCAACCATCGAAGCGCTGTTTGTTTGTCTAATAATTTATACATTTTTTAAGTTAGATTTTTTTAATAACCGTATTGTGGTTCAATGTGTTTTAGCGTACATTTCAAACTCCATGAATTTGTATGTTACAAATACTTAAAAATCATGAGAATGTTAAGAAAATATTATTTTAGTCAAATATAAGAAAACTTTGATTTAAAAATTTTCGATTCTCGAAAAATGTGTTTCTTTACTGTGCTTAGATTAACTTGGAAGAATTGTCGATAATTTGGGGCCACCCAGTGGCTCAGTGGGAAGCCTGAGGGCTTATAGTGTTAAAATTCAAGGTTCGATCCATGTGGTGTGCACACACAGCACAGATAGCTGATTGCGAAGCTTTGCACGTAGCAACAATAAAGTTAAATTGGGATCTTTATTCCAAAAAATGTCAAACTCATTCGTAAAAGATAACACTGTTGAATCTATAATACAGAAAGTGTTTTATTAAGGATGTGAATGTCTTTAATGTTGCTTTATTAAATGAATAATTCAATTTTGCATCTGTACTTTATTTTCCTTGTTCAGGCATCTGTCTATTCTACTGCTGTCAAAACATTGATTACCGTCTCTACCTTGATGTTAATGGGACTGGTCCTAGGCTACCACGCTCTGGAAGTTCAAGTATGTGTTTTATTCTTGTGTGCATTAATAACGTTTGGCAAAAAAAAACACGGAAATGTATTATAAAAACTTAAAAACACCGTTTTCTCTTCTAGGTTTTATGTTTATACATATCTATTACACACAATATTTTTCTCATTAGTAAGTAAAATATCACACAAACTTTGCATAAATGTCGTCACTAATTCAATGAAAAACGCTTCCCAAAAGATCTTTCACAGTTGAAATATTGATTTCTTTGCTGTCATGGCATATATATGTATAGCAACGCCCTCTATAAAGGAGGAGCCACGTTTTTGTTGTTGTTTTCTTGTTGTTGTTTTGATGTTAAGTGTATCAACATAAATGTTAAAATATTACTTGTAACCTTTAGAACGCTAATACATACATCTGTCAAAGTTGAAATATTGTTTTTTTTTTACTATCATAGCATATATTAACGCCCTCTGTAAATAAGTAGCCACGTTGTTTATATATATTAAGGCCCCCAGTGGCACAGCGGTATGTCTGCGGACTTACAACGCTAGAAACCGGGTTTCGATACCCGTGGTGGGCAGAGCACAGATAGCCCATTGTGTAGCTTTTTGCTTAATTCCAAATCAATCAATATATATTAAGTGTATCAACATAAAAGTTAAAACTTTGCTTGTAACTTTTAGAATGCTGATGTATTATTTTTAATGATGCACAATTAAATATTTATACAGGACAATTATTCCGGGCAGACGGGTTTTAATGCGTTGTCAGTCAACAAATTGTATGCTGTTTCTGAGTAAAACATATTTGGACATGTTCTTTTTCTGCTACTTAACGATTTCCCAGCTTTATCATGCGTTGGATTTCTTCGTTGTTTTACGCCCCATGTGTATAAATGACATATTACAATGGGTTGCTTCATTATTTTAAGCCCCATGTGTATAAATAACATATTACAATTGGAAATGCCCAGTCTCTTGAGAATATTTATTTAGTTATGCTAATACGAATCTCAGTACGTTGACTCGCCCTTAACCCTTACGACAACTGACTTTTAGCCTTTAAAAAGGTCGAAGATTGCTTGCCATAACCGAAATGTTAACGTTTAACTTGAGGGAAATAATGAATAAAACGTTTTTACTGGTATATTGAAAATATGGGGAATCTTCTTCAGAGCAAAAAACAAAACAAACAAACTATCCTCATATATCGCTAAGCACATTCGATATAAGTTCGTATTTTATATTTTTGTTTTTTATTTAGTATTGAGTTGAAAATACTTTGGAAAGAATATTATAAGCAACTCTCTTTTCCAAGACGTGTCGTATTCTGAAAAGTATATAGTTACAAAATAAATAACATTTGAAATAACCCTGCTTCGTAACTAACTAAAAGGCATGCTCTGTTGTTTCTGTTTGCGAGGACATTAGTTCGACTCCTTGTTCTTTACTTCAACGAAGGATGGGGGCCCGGCATGGCCAGGTGGATAAGACGCTCGACTCGCAATCCGAGGGTCGCGGGTTCGAATCTCCGTCCCACCAGACATGCTCGCCCTTTCAGTCGTGGGGGCGTTATAATATGACGGTCAATCCCACTATTCGTTGGTAAAAGTGTAGCCCAAGAGTTGGCGGTGGGTGGTGATGACTAGCTGCCTTCCCTCTAGTCTTACACTGCTAAATTAGGGACGGCTAGCGCAGATAGCCCTCGTGTAGCTTTGCGCGAAATTCAAAAACAAACAAACAACGAAGGATGGGAGATGTCGTTCGTAGTATTTTACACGTTCATTTCCAGCCTTACCCGATCAAACCCTTCTATTTCACGTAAACACTGTTTACCAATTTTTAAACAGAGGCTGTAACCAAGCTACTTAATAATCCAACATGTAATTTCACTAATGACTTATATTTTCTGCTATTTGAGAAAACCTTAATTCACTATTCAAAGTTTAATGTGTCGTAATACTCTGAATTTAAATATTACTTAGTCCTTTCACCCCTCTACCTATGGGTCAGCAGTAAGCTTCAAGTTTTATAACTTTAAAATGTGGGGTTCAATACCTCAATTCCTTGAGATCCTCAACTAGTTTTGCATCTGGGATTTGTCTGAATAACTATCGTATTGGGGCTGCATGTCCCTATTAATAGCACCCTTCTTCTTCGGATCCACGACAATTTTTTCCAACAGATACTCCCTCAGGATGTGCTGGACTTTTTAGTTCTACTACATCCCAGCCATTAGATGTCCTAGTGTGAGTATTTTACTTCTCCATGATATAGAAATTAACATCTGGCGTTGTAATTATCGAATAGTGCACAGAGATTTTCTGGTCATAGACAATGAGACTGTTTAAAGCACGTTTCACCTCACATCCATATTTCAGCATAAAGTGTATTCCCAATATGCACTCCTCTTCTATGTGAAGTAGAGAAGGTTCCCGCCATTTTAGCCGCGTCATAACAACTCGTAGAAAAGCTCTTAGTTTTTTGTTTTTTCAACTTTTAGCTCATAACTCCATCATCTCTTGACCGAGTTGAGAGCTAATTACAGCTTTGAACTCAGGAGGTCAAACTCTTTCGATTGATGTATTTAACTATGACCAAAGTATCATAGATTGATTTACTCTAATCCTGCCTAAAGAATTTCAACTGCAGCAGCTACTGAGGATTCCCTCTTGTTTCGTCTGTGGAGATAATTTCCCACCATATCTTATCAGATGTGGTGGAACAGTTATAGCTGTAGAATCAGTGTCTGTAATCATGTCGCAAGGCTTCCAGTCAGTTAACCAATTAACTCGGGGACTAATGTCTTTAAATAATGAATTTCTCAACTCAGTTGGAGCAGATGGGGTATTCTCATCACAACTTCGCCTCTTAAATCCAGTTAAGTTTTGTTTTTCCATGTGCGATTAGTTATTTGATGTTCCTTTAACCTGTCTGGCATCTGGGATTCATCTTTAGGGTATTATCTCTTTGAGTTATTAGCATCTGTTGGTTCTTCACAGTCTCGGCTATAATATTCATGTTCCCACATTTATAACAGTTCCTTTTCCTGGCATCATCTGGGAGTAGTTATTATTCCATACAGGTTTTTGTCTGTAGCTTCTGGTAATTTCTTAAAGTGAAATTTGAAACATGTATTGTCTTGAAGTTTACTTCTTCCATTCTGTGTAACTAGATGTCCAATTTCATTTCTTCTAGACTACCATCAAAAGCAGTTGATGTTTCCACACTACTTGATTCGATGGTTCTTTAAATTTTGGATGGTATCTTTAATTGTTTATCTGTGATTTTAATGTATTTAACTTCCATCGCCAACTGAAGAGATTCCTTTAAAGATGTATTTCTACTTTGCTTTAGCCTATTTTGAATATCCTCAATGCATGCAGCATCTGTGAGTTGGTCACGTGCTAATGTGTCTATCATTTCACGTGAATCATCCGGATAAGATAGTTAGACAAGCCTTCTCCATCTTCCACAGTTTCGGCTGAGGTCTCCCTCCTTACTCTGCTCTTAAACTTTGCTTTGGAAACTTTCTTCTGGTGAGTAACTCCAATGATCGATAGTTGCTACAGCTCTCAGCTGAAAGGTTTTTTTGATGTAGTTAAGGCTGGTCTTTTTAGATGGGCAGAATTCTAGATGACTAATTATTCCCTATTCCAGCTTTCACTTTGGAAATTATTTTGAAGTGATCTTGATATGCCTCCCATGGTACTTTTCCATCATAGTCTGTTGGTTCTCAATTAGACAAATGGTTTTGAAGCTTTGTACTCTAAACTACAGTTTGTGTTTTGGTGGAATGCTCCTGAAGAAGCTGTAAAGCGAAACGTTGAGTGCCCAATTACAGAACAATTTTTCAAATTAAGTCTATGTCAGTGAGAAACACAGTGAAATGGTGGATGCTTTGAACGCACAATATATTATTGTTATTCATAGTTATTCACCTAACACCCTTTGCATACTGAGATATGTAGTTGATGTAGCAACTTATAATGTGCATTTGATGCTCCTCTGATGGTCAGAATACGTCCCAGTTTATCAGATATCTCAGTGCTGAATATATCCCTCATTACAATATTACAAAATACATGTTAGAACACAATCGAAGTATACTATTATCCAAGTGAACTATTATAATAATGTCGTTTCACTAAACCATGGAAACAGATGACGTGAAATAGATAGCAGCGTGATTTATTTTCACGATCAATGTAAGAATATGGGACACTGCCTGAATTCTCAAGTTATTAATCCATCCAACTCAGTCGTCCCCATAATGTGATTCAACATCTTTAGTGATGTTCTTTCTCATCACATGAGCTTACTGGAAATCTTTGATATTTGTTCAACCACAAACTGCATAATTTATAATACGATTTACTTACGCTTTTTCCGAATTCTTCACCTAGATCTACAGTTTCAATCCCATTAAACTTTTGTTACTGCACTATAAACTCCATTGACGCTGTCATTACAACTAATCTGAAGTAATTCGATCTTCCATGAAATACCAAGAAAAGCAATCCAGTACAATGCTTAGTGAAGTAGAATAGCGATAAGTCGTTTGTTGTAAAAGAATAGTCGAGAAAATTCGAATAAATAGAGTGCATTTTTATATAAAAAATATCTGCCTTTAGTCAGAAAGAAATGAACTTCACCGAAATTACAAAAGAGTAGTTATTGTTTGTTGTTGTTGTTTTTTTTCTCTGACAATAAGTATATGAACTAGCCAATTCTAAGGGAGGAGGTAGTTTATCCAAAATTATTTAACATTCAGTATTGTCATTTGAAACAAATTATGTGGGATATATGTATATAAAACATTAAACAGAAATTTAATTTGACAGTCAATACTTATAACCTTTCAGCTTAAAGTAGACATGGTATTCCGTTATGCTAATTTGGCTAGCAGGCAATTCTAAGATATTTACTGAGGGTGGGGCACGCACAGTAAGCAAAGTTACCTAATATTACTTTTATGCGTTAATTAACAATGGTAACACACCTAATAATGAGCAAAAATAAAAC